TAGGTATAGTTATTTATCTGAAGGATTTTAGCACCTGTTTTAAACGAAAATCATATCACCATGCAACCTGAAACATGGAACCGCCAAAGGTACCACCATAATATGTGTGGTGTAGGGGGCATTTCCCAGTCTGAACCTGATCTTGGTGTGGATTTCAGCTGCAGCCATGTGAGTAACTGATTTTCTGGTTCACTGGCCAAACTGAAAACATGGGTGGGGGGAAGGTGAAGGAGGATGGTTCAGGTCAATCTGAAACAATGTTTTTATTTATTTTTTCAGGAAACCGATTAACATTTTCATTTTGGGTCAAATTTTATTTCATGTATGAAGTTTTAAAACTTTTTAAAATAAAATTAAAGTAAAGCTTGAAGCAAAAATCAAAACATTTCATTTCAAAAATGTCAAAATGTAATCTTTTGATTTTATATTTATACTTTATTTTATTTTCCAGAAAACCTGCAGGTACTGGTGAATTTTCTTTTCTCAAACATTCCCCCCAAGTTAGATCTAATTTCATGGCTGTTTCCTGGATCCAAAATGCGGCTGGTTTAAAAAAAAAATCAGACTGGAAAATCCATGCTGTCCAAATCCTTATCTAGGTACAGATCTGAATTTTGTGACTGGCCCAATTTTTTCTAGGACTAGGTTCTGATCCCTTTACTCACAAAGAGTGCCACCTCAACAACAGCATGCAAGTAGAATGATCAGAGTGATGTTTGACAAATGCCATGATCATTGTAATTTTCTGCATTTGTCACCTAATTATAGTTCAGCACTTCAACTGGTGGAAAGCAGTGTAGGGTGATGAACTTTGATAGAATGACACCATCTTACTTCAGCTAGGAATGTATCTAGATATTTACCCACATCTCATTTACCTATTTTATGTATTAACTGCCCCAAAACTTCCTTAACACAGAAGTAACATTGCCCAGGGCTTACTCATGTCCTTCCAGAATGATGAAAGTGGCTAAACTTAACCCTTTGAAAACCAGGTAATGCAGAGTAAAGGTAATGCAAACTGAAACTGCTGAAAAATTGGAAAAACAAAATTAAGGCATGTAGTCCCAGGTATGGGCCAAAAAAAAGTTGGAAGTGTTACGGAATCCCCAGGCGATGCTTTGGAACTGCTCCCCACAAAGCCAGTCAGGACTTTGGGGAGCCTCCTCTCCCTTGGAGCAGACTGTCTTCAGGGCAAGAAGCTCACACGGCTTCACCTTCCTGGGTCTGACCTTGGAGCATTCAGCATATGCCCCTCCATGTGCTTCCCACAGCGAGTCCACCCAGGCGGGGTCCTGGGGAAGCCAGAGGGTCCTGCACGCACCCCCACTTTGCAGTCAGACGTGACTCTTAGCCAGCAGGTAAAACAGAGGTTTATTAGATGACAGGAACACGTTCTAAAACAGAGCTTGTAGGTACAGAGAACGGGACCCCTCAGCCAGGTCCATTCTGGGACCCAGCGAGCCAGACAACCCCGTCTGCACTCACTTTCCATCCCCAGCCAGCCCAAACTGAAACCCACTCCAGCCCCTCCTCTCTGGCCTTTGTCTCTTTCCCAGGCCAGGAGGTCAGCTGATCTCTTTGTTCTCCCACACCTTTAGCATCCCCTTGCAGGGGGGAAGGGCCCCGGCCATTAGTTGCCAGGAGACAGCGTGTCGGACAGAAACTGAGGCACCCACACAGTATTCAGAGGAAACATTAAGAACAGTCCCACTTTGTCACAGGAAGAATCAGAAAAAAAATCAATGACATTATTTATTAGGGGGTAATTATCTCAAGAATCCCTTGTTTAAGTGACCTCACATTTGGATCACTAAGCCTACACTGGCCATCCATGAAGCAAAGCAATTTTCAAGATAATCCGAGTAAGCATGCAGGTAATCTGTTAAACAGCAAGTGTGTCCACTTTAAGTCTACCACAGCTACCACGCTACTATAGTATACTAGATCCTACATTTTCAGTCTGGTTTCAGGTGCCTTGTTGTTTTGGGTGCCCAACTTCAGGCATGTTTTCAGAAAGTTCTTAATGGTCATCATCAAAACCAGGACCATTTAATGAGTCTCAACCAGAACAGCCAGAAATTAAGGCACTGAAAATTACTCGTCAGGTTTGAAAAGGTCTATCATTTATTGCTGAATCTCTGTTATAGTGGTGCAAGGAGGCATGCTAGAGGAGAAGAGGTCTAGAGCCATGGGAGTTTTTTAATGGAATGAAGAGACACAGGACAATGAGTGAAGAGGTAGGAAGGTAGGGTTATGTACTCTTGAAACTTAACCCTTGCTCCTCAGGAATGTTTTTCTCAGGGCCTCTTTCACGTCCTTGTTCCTCAGTGTGTATATTATCAGATTCAGCAGTGGGGTTATCACAGAGTAAAAAAAAGACACCACTTTACTGACATCAGATTCATACTTCACTGCAGAGTTGACGTACATGAAAATGAGGGTCCCAAAATAGATGGTGACCCCCGAGAGGTGCGAGGCTCAGGTGGAAAATGTCTTCTTGTGGATGATGGCTGACGACATCCTCGATATGGTGGCTATGATTTGGAAGTAAGAGGCCATGGTGAAGAGGACGGCAGACATGATAATGACAGTGCCGAAGGCATAGCCTACTGCCTGGATGGTGTAGGTGTTGGTGCACGAGAGCTTAAAGAGCTGATCGTCATCACAGAAGAAATGGTTCATCGTGCTGGAGGTGCAGAAGGAAATCCTGGCTAGCATGAAGGATGGGAAAGTGGGGCAGGCGAACCCCATAAGCCAACATGCCATGGCCAAGTACTGGCAAATCATAGGGTTGCAGATGGTGGAGTAAGACAGTGGGTTGCAGATGGCCAAGTATCTATCATAAGCCATGACTGTCAGGAGGAACAGCTCAATGCCAGCAAAGGAGAAGAAGAAGTAATACTGGGCAATGCAGCTGGAGGCAGAGATAGTCCTCCTATCTGCTAAGAAGTTGGCCAACAGCTTGGGCACTGTGACGGTGGTGTTTCAGACCTTCACCAGTGGGAGGCTGCAGATGAAGAAGGACATGGCAGTGTGGAGGCAGGAATCCGTCAGGACGATGATGATGATGAGCAGGTTACCCATGGGTGAGAAGATGTAAATGATTCGGAACAGCACGAAGAGCAAGACTTGGAACTGCGGCAGGCTGGTAAACTTCAGGAAGATGAACTCAGTGACCAGTGTCCGGTTCTACCTCTCCACGGGACTGGCTGGATCAGGGGTGGCCAACCTGTGTCTCTGGAGCCACATGTGGCTCTTCAAAAGTTAATATGTGGCTCCTTGTATAGGCACCGACTCTGGGGCTCAGCTACAGGTGCCAACTTTCCAATGTGCTGGGGGGTGCTCACTGCTCAACCCCTGCCACAGGCCCTGCCCCCACTCCCCCCTCCCCTGAGCCTTCAGTGCCCTTGCACCGCCCCCTCCCCTCCCCAGAGCCTCCTGCATGCCACGAAACAGCTGATCGGGAGGTGCAGGGAGGGAGGGGGAGGTGCTGAATGGCGGGGCTGCCGGTGGGTGGGAGGCACTGGGAGTCGTGGGGGGGGGGAGCTGATGGGGGGCTGCTGACGTATTACTGTGGCTCTTTGGCAATGTACATTGGTAAATTCTGGCTCCTTCTCAGGCTCAGGTTGGCCACCCTTGGGCTAGATAAACATTTATTAATAATTCTGTAAATAAACAGGCATATCAGCTACTCCATAACCAAGTGGCCAAATCATATGAGTTATATCAGGGATGATTTAACTGTTAGGAATATCTACTAGCTGGCTGGCTAGCTAATCAATATCTTTCATTAAAAACCCTTTTTGATGAAAAATGGCTTTTTCATCAAAATGAAATTTCTTTGGGAAACGCCTATTTTTTACTAAATTTTCCAGATATTAATGAAAAAATTAAAAACTTGTAACTGGAAAAAAATGTTCTCAGGTATTCTTTCTTTCTTTCTTAAAAAAATATTTTGAGGAAATGAACGCTTTGCTGGTTTCCATCAAAGTTTTCCACAGTAACTAAACTATTTCTTGACCAGTTCCATAATCTCTATCTCTCACTGTCCTTAAATTTCATCCTTAAATTTCTAATGTCTTTACTATGGGTTAAATTGTACCATCACCTTGAAGTAGAATTCTCCACTTAAGTTGAGTTCTACTGAAAATCTGATAGTATGGAATTCACCTAGAAGTGTAAGAAGAAACAGTCATAGGCAGTATGCAAACTTTCTCAGAATAAAGCTCTTCAAAGATCAGATGAGTGACTGAAATAAACTAACACTTTCATTCCCAGAATCCTGGCGATCAAGGAATTTTAAAATGCTATCCTTTGTTATAGAAATTGTTTATAGAGCCGATGTTAACATTGATTGGGAAACTGTTCTATACTGTAAAAAGCTGCATCCTACCAGACACCCAGAGGGGGGCATGGATCAGCGTTCATGTCACACTCCCTTTCAGTACCTGGCCTGGGGAAGCTAATAATCCAACCAGTGGACCAAATTTGGGGATGAATCCTGGCCTCATGCCACCTGAGGCATGTTATGCATATGCTAAGAAGAAGACACCCAGACTGTAAGTTGTCTCAGGCATGGGAGCTGGATTCTCAATGGGATTTAGACACCTAATAGCCACTTTTACTGAAATTCACAAAAGACCCACTCTGAAACCCCTGAACACTGTAGGCACCCAAACGCATAGCACCTAACTTTCCACTGTAAAATCTCCCTATATTTCTGCCTGTAGTCATGTGCCTGCTTGAACTCCATACAAACTGACCAGGAGGGAGAGGACTTTCCTGGTGACCTTTAGCCCAGAGATTAGTGAGCTCACCTGCACATAGGAGATGCCTGGTTGAAGTCCCACCTCTGCCTAAGGAGGAGAAGGGATTTGAAGAGGGATGTGGCATCTCTCAGTTAACAACATCCATAGTGGGTCAGACCAAAAGTCCATCTAGCCCAGTGTCCTGTCTTCTGACAGTAGCCAATGCTAGGTGCCCCAAAATAAGAAACAAGGCCCCAGTGAAATTTGAACTCACGACCACTGGTTTACAAGACCAGTGCTTTAACCCCTGAGCTATGGAGGCAATTTTATAGCAATGTCAGGGATTTGAGAATCCAATTTCTGTTGGTGGATTTGACAAGCCTTAGTTTTCCAAAAATCAAATCAATCCCTCTTTCTGGGGTATATCTGGAGTCAATGGGATTCATTCTCATCTCATGCACTCTGGTGTAAATCAGGAGTGATTTTATTGGAGTCATCTGGGCTTATTCCTTTCTCTCTGACCCCAGTGGAAATCAGGAGAACTCCATTGGAGTGAATGGAGCTGATTCTCTTCTCATTCACCCTGGTGTAAATCAGGAGTGACTCCTAAGGCTGGTCGAAGTTTTTTAACAAACACTTTTTCATCAAAAATAGTTTTATAGATTTTTTTTTACAAAAGCTTGAATATTACAGCATTTTTAAGTGAAAAAAATTAAAACAACATAAAACAAGGTTTTTTGTTTTTGTTTTTTAAGCCTGCCAAAAGAAAGTGTTTTTGAAAACAGAATAATATGAGGGCTTTGATTTTTGGTTTTCAGAATTTTGTTTTGTTTTTTCACTCTCTCCTCCTCTTTTCCACTCAAAATGTAGGAAAATAAAAAAGGGAGACAAAGTGTATGTCAGGAGGAGTTGATTTTTTTTTACCATTTTCCATACTTTTTTTTTTTTTTTTGCTTTTCTTGTTTTTTCCTCTTTTACCAAGGAGAGAAAGCGCTGCGGGGAAATCTGAAAACAGAGATATAAGTTTGTTTGCTTTTCAAAACAGAAACAAACGAAAAAATTAAAATTGTAATTTGAAATAAAAAATATTCATCTCATACCATTTTTCTTGGTGGGGGGTCTAAAATACAATTTTTTTGCAAACAATTAATTGTTTGTAATCTTTGGTGGACATAAAATAAGATTATTCAACCAGCTTGAATAACTCCATTGGAGTCAGTGGAGTTTCACGTGTGTAAAATAAGCATAAGTGCGAAGATTAGGGTTAGAAGGGATGTTCACAGTGACATTTATGGACCCCCTACACACACCCTGGGAGCAGTGTGCTGCTGGATGCATAGAAACAGAAGCCTGGAGAAAGATCTGCTTTGTCTTAAGCAATGATCTTGTTCAAATAGCTTCTCCCCACACCACTAGCCCTATGCTGGAGATGGATTAGAAGTTACCAGCCAGTACACACATCCTTTCTTGAAGGGTTCCTTTACACTGCGATTGAGGGTGCCATTTTGCAGCTCCAGTAGGCATCCCAGAGTTAGCGTTCATTTAGCTACCACTCTCAAAATACCAGCACAGATCTGGTGGCATAAGCTTCAATATGGGCTAGTAACATGAGTGTGTACAAGGAGGGGTACTGAAGGTGGCCCTCAGGAGTTCCTAATTCAACCCCTGGTATGACACCTGAAATGGCATTTATCACCCAAGGGGGGATTTGAACTGCTGTGGTCTTCAGGTGCTCGGTAGAGATTCCTCTGCTAAGAGAAAACGTGTAAGCCCCTCAGCAGTCTACTTTACCTGCCCCCCCCGCCCATGTGTCCAGTCTACAGAGGCTGAGAAAGTGTTATATGTTCTGGCTAGAAGCTAGTGGCTCATTAGCTCAAGGTGTAATGACTCAGGTGTTCCTCTGGGGAAGTCTCAAATTCCCTCTCTGCTGGTGGGCAAGAGGGGACTGAGTTACAGAGTGCTGGGAGCCTAGAGACGGGGGTAATTAGACAATCAGGCTGGCTGAGATAAGGATCTAATTGTCCCATCAGTACAAGGCTGATAAAAAGGCAGGAAGTCCCAAAAGGGAGGAGATAGAAGGGACCAGGGCTAGCTGAGCTCAATTACATGGAGGCCTCAAGGGGGGAGGCTTCAGTTCCCCTCTGGCCCTGAGGGAGAGGGCCTGTGGGTGCTGTAGATAGATTGTTGCATGGTGGTTGTGGAAATGGTGGAGGGAACTTAAAATCACAGGGTACAGTGAAGGCACAACCAGTGGAGTCTGTGCAGTTTCTGCAGGGAAGAAGGCGGGAGAGAAGCCATGCTTCGTGACAGGCTGACCCATCAACAATACAGCTTTGCATGGTCCCATATGGAGAGATGCTGTGGTGACCTGATCCACTGATGTCCCCTGTGACACTGCACCCGACATTTGTCATAGTAATATTATTAAGATATGATCATGGCATAATTATGATGCATTTTGTACAAGATAAGTCATGTGAGGTGTCATTGGAAAAGTTATGAATTGTTGAATATGATTATCCTATTTCTATGCATGTATCATTTTTGTATCTGAAGTTATAAATACTGACTATGTATTTGTACTTCAAATGTACTTACAAATTTGTAATGCCCACTAGACAAGATGCTTTCAGTCTAGACAGCTGGCTGGCAAGGGCCTGTTCAGGGCAATGAGCCATTAGAGAAAACATTAGGCCTTAGGAGAAGCTTATCTCCCACCTGGTGAACCTTCCTGAGAACACTCCAGACAGCCTGTAAGTGTAATGGCTGCTATTACTCTACAAGGACATGTGTCCAGGCCACATGACTCTGGACTCCATCTTGGGATATCAGTATTTTTCCACAAACCGGTCTGGGGACCAAGTTTTGAAGCAAAGGGTTCTCATCGTATGCAAAAGCTATATAAGGCAGGGAGTGACATCATCTATTGTTCTTCACTCCCCACACAGCAGCACTCCTGAAAACACCTGAGGAACAAAGACTGAACTGGGGGACGTGCTGGACCCAGGCTAAAGGGATTTCTAGCCTGTGTATGAAACACCTGGGGATTCCAAGCTGTAAAGCAAATGCAGCTTGCCGCTCAAGAATCTACAAGTCTGCCTGTACCATCAGTTAGGGTGAGACTCTGCTAATTCATATCCAATCTATCTAGTATATTACGCTCAGTTTGCATTTTTGTTTATTTACTAGGTAATCTGCTTTGAGCTGTTTGCTATCACTTATAATCACTTAAAATCCATCTTTTGTGGTTAATACATTTATTTTATGTTTTAATCTAAACCAGTGAGTTTGGAGTGAAGTGTGTGGGAATCTTGGCTCAGAGGGGCTGTTGCATTTTCTTTCTACATTAAGGGGGAGCCGAACTGGATAATAAATTCATACTGGTCAGAGTTTGGATCAAGGCAGGATGGTACAGCTCTGGGGTCCTAGACCAGGAAGCTGGTGGTTACCTTGGCTACCTCTCTCTATTGTTGGTTCATATGCAGTGGCTGGTCAGAGACCCTGCATATAACTGCAGCTGGGTGTATTCCTACCTGTGCGAATGCTGGTGGAAGTATAAGACCGGGAGCATGTCTGCAGCTTGTCACAGCAGCACAGTGTGAAAGGGAGCCCAAGCTGGTGAGTCAGGGGGCTCAGTGGTACCCCAGGTCCAGGTGGCACACCGGGGGGAACCCGTCACATCTCCCTTCCCAGATGACCTGATATACAACATAGCTAGGAGACCATACAAATCTACGCGTGTCGTGAGCAGATAATCTAACAGCCTTCGACAGCACAGCATCCATTCCTGCCGAATGCCCATGGGGAAGAGTAGCCATAACCCTAAATAGAAAACTAAGAGTGTCAAGGAAGTGTTCTAACCCGAGAACCTCAAAGAGACACCCCCAAACACTGCAATAAAATGTACATGGTGCAACCAAGAGATGGTTAAAGCTACCTAGGAAATAAATGGCAGATGGGGAAGATTAACTTGGGAACAGATTGCCATGGAGAGAACAAAGTCAATGGGGCTACACTGATTTTCTCTCTCTGAGGATCAGAATCTTGGTACCCGTGTATAAATCAAATCAAATCATGTCTTTCCTAGAACTTTACTTAAGGCTGCAAAATGTAGGAGGCTAAAAGTTTTGATTATTTATTGAGTGAAAATAAATGTGACACATGAGAAACTGCAGGGAACCTGGGGATTATCTCAGCCATTAACCTCAGCTATTATTCTGGAATAAATTGTGCATCTTTCAATGAGATAAAGGGAGCCTCTTAATCCCTTAGCAAGGGTATATCAGGGCTTTGTGAATGTTAGTTGTAACATCAGTGAAGTCCCTTCAGTGATTTGTTCATTCAGGGTAATGCTCATTCCATGTCCTGTAACAATGGATTTGTAAGACAGAAGATGCTTTTACTTATATGATTCCAAAAGCTACAGGTCAGGGTGAAAACTTCACATCAGCAGCGATCCTCATATGGAGTCCAGGTGAGTTTCAGTCTTTTAAATCAGCTCTACTCTTTTCCTTTTTCAAAGACATTTTACTAATGAGCAATTGGAGTTCCACACCAGCAGTGTGGGTTTCTTTCCTGGCTCTTCCATTGGTCTGATGTGGCACCATACCTGCTCTGTACCTCACAGTCCCCATTTGTAAATTGGGGGATGGTGATATTTATCCTGTTTGCTCAGGTACCCGGAGGTCCACTGATGAAAAGTGCTAGCTCAGAGATAGGGTTGATGAAGATCATCGTCAATTTGCACATGAGAGAATCAAGTCATATAAAACTCCCATCTCCAATGACCCAAGTAGATCTGGTTTTTAAAATACCTAACCCCCCAAACTTTGTCTTCGCTGCCAATAGATAGATAGATAGGTATTTTGAGATGGATGTCTCTATTTAAAAACCTAGTGGAGACAAGTCACAGGTAGATTTTATCATTGTGTAGCTAGTCAAAGTCAACCCTTTTCTCCTCCACCTGTACTGCCACCTGGTGTTCACCTCTACTAACTATGCCAAAGTACGGTGTAAAATGTAAATCAGGAGTAACTCTGTCAGTATCAATAATGTTACACTGGTTTGGGGAATTTTTCCCAAATTGTCCACAGTGCCTGGAGAAGCCGATATGAAAATAACAAGGAGGCCTGTATTCACAGCTTCTTCCCTGTGCTTGGCATTCTCCTTCAGCTCCTAGATAGACATGACCCAACCTTGCTGTCTCATGTTCTCTCTGAGCACCAAGCTTGTTCACTGCAGCTCCAGACTCTCAGTCAGTCTGTCCATCAGTTAGCCTCCAGCATGCTGACCGTGCCCCCCTCCCTCTTTGTCGGGGGCAAT